ATACCCGTTTCCCCTCCTGGCGATGCTACATAATTGCGTTGTATGGCGCGTGCTGTGGAATATTTCGTGACGCGGAATTTGAGAACGAAATTATAATTCTGAAAAGCAAGAGATTTATGCGACAATATCTACAATAGATCGTGCGCTGGATTGTTGATTGCTAATTTTCTGCAATTGTTCTTAATTCCTTCTTTTATTACTTATATCATCATTATGTCTCACACGGATATTAATCTGTCAATTTTTATGTATAAGAAAATTAATTTGAAATATTTATATTCCGAAGTGGGTTTGTATTTGTATCCTGCCGCGTTTTTAGCGATGTATAGGAAATGGCTTCAGCAGAAAAAGCAGCTTTGCAAAGATTCCACATGATTGATTCTTGCCCTTAATTTCTCACGAATCTAGATGTATAAACTAATCATGTTAAAGAATCTTATCAAAAGTTACAAAGTTTTTTTACTAAATGTAGCCATCGTCGAATAGAGTATTTTATATAGAAACAATCTTGCTGAAGTATCTAAATTTTAGCTATAGATACAAATCTAAAAATAAATAATTTTGTTGGATTATCAAAATAATTATATCAAATACTCAAACTGGTTATTAGAATGTCAAAACTTTTTGAAACGTTGCTCTCATTATATTTGAAAGTTTCCAAAATGGTTTTTATGCTCTAACAAAATTATTTTTAAATCTGTATCTACTCTCTAAAACTTTTAGAATGAATCTCACTTTGAAGAGTGAAACCTCACTTTATAGATTGAAAATTGAGCCCTTCTTTTTCAAGACTGGTTCAATTTTCATTTTTTAAAGTGAGATTCCACTCCATAGAATTTAGAGAATAGCTTAAATTTTTAGATACTTCAATAAAATCATCCTTTCCATATATTAAAAAAATACGGATCAATGATGAAATCAAAAAAAATACGAATCTTGTAGAATGTACGAAAAGCTACGGCGGCTTCTATTCGTGATTGTTCGCCGTCGAGAGAGCCGCGCACCGACGGCGTCTCTCTTTCGAGGGCGGTCAACAATTTTTCAACGACAAGTGTTATCGCGCCTCGGTGAACGTCGTGGCTTGTTATCGCTCGCACACGTACGATTGTGTTGCTTCGTGTTAATGCGCACCGGGGTCTCTTTAAACGCATGCATCCAGCGCGTGTTCCCCATTCGCGTTCACCAAGCCGAGTTTCATTCACGTGCCGCGTCGCCGTCGTGAACCGAGACCGGATGTCGACCGTCATGGCGATTCGATATCCCGGGCAGCGTTTTCGATCGTACGAAGGTCAACACGGATTAACCCCAAGCTGCGTTATTCATGGTGGACGCGTGACCATGGAATATCGTAGGATCGCTTAATTATCACGTTGCATGAGTTCGCGTGTACTTGGACGTTAGGACTTAATATAACAGATATATGATAATGCTAAATTTTGAAGTATAACGAGGCTTCTTCATGGTCGCGTGGTTTTAGTTTTATACTTAATAAATTGTTACGAATTTGCATAACTTGTATCGCGAATCATTATATTATAATATATGTATATATTATAATTTTTGCATCATTTGAGAAAAGAATTTAGTCGTAATTATTGCTCAAAAAGAATGCATTAAATCAAGAAGAAATCAAAGTGACTTTATTTTGATGTCATGAAAGTCAAAATGATAATTTTTGGTCATTAAATTTGACTGTTTATTGACGTTAAGAATAACAATAAAATTATTTTGATTTTTTTGTTGATTTTTATGTGTTGAGTGATTGAATAAAGACGCTTTTCTCAGATATGGTCAATTTAAACGTCAATTTTGTATACATTCGCTAAATATTGGCTTACATTCACTACAGATAATTATGTATGTATAATATTTAATCTAATATTGGTGAACGTTAACTATATCATCTGAAGATGCCTTAATAAGACCAAATGTAAATTGACACACGGAAAAAGCGATTGTTGCTATCTAATAAAAATTTAATTATAGATACAGATCTGAAAATAATTTTATTAGAAAATAATTTTATTAAAATAATTATGTAAGACGCTCAAGTATAATAAACAATGTTGCAAAAAGTTTTCATATTCTAGCAATTTAAGCGTGTTACATAATTATTTCGATGATCTAACAAATTATTTTCAAATCTGTATCTAGCTAAACCGTTTTTTTGTATTTACATATCGAATAAATCTAAACAAGAAAAACGACTTCCGTTTCCTCGAAAGAACAATGTTTGTATGCGATAGTGAATCTGCAAATATTTTAACGATGTTTCCCCATTTAATTTTACGCGAATGTGAGTAACTTCATCCGAATAAACGCTCGTCCTCTAATTAAAGTCACAAGCGGGCGTCAAAAACGAAAAATCCTCCGAACATTCCCTTTTCCGTTCACCGCTTCAATTATCTTTTCAACGCACTCGTAAGGTGAAATTCCGTTGCGTGCGCACGGGCCGGTGAGTAGCACGGTGCCTCCTATCAGAATCGTTTGCCGTGCGTGTCCGCCCACTCGCCGCCGCCACACACGTTGTCGTCGTCACCACTGCAAGCTGCGTGCACAGCCGGAGTCATATAATCCGCGATAAAAACTTATTAAAATACGATCCCGCAGGATATGCGTATTCGCTTGCGTGACGATTCGCGATTGAGTGGCTCGAACGTCATTAACCGAGCCTACAGGTTCACGAAAGCCGAAAATTATTTAGCAAGATCCACAATCTTAAGTGGCTCCTATATAGAGACGATCAATATAAGTGCACAATATTATTGCTCGTCTGAAGATTATGTCTCTAAATTATTTATTTTAAATTATTTAAAGGGAATAACAATATTATTGTATAAAATATAATTGTGATGCAATATTGATTATCCTGAAGAGGCAGCTTTATTTTCTCTCGCTAAATGTTAAAAATTGCGAGCTAGACATCTGTAACAGTTTCGGTTATATAAATCGTAAGAGATAAGATAAGATATATAAATCATCAAGAAATTTTGATGTGCCGACTTTTAGAAGTGAACTTTTAGAGATATCGCCTCTCTTCAAGTAACGAGTATCAAATAGTATAAGATTATTCAAATTCTGTTCTGTGTGGACGTAGCTTAATGCAACTGCGCAACGCTTAGAAGCTAATAACGTTTGTAAGTGAAGGTTGTGATGCTAGAACGACGACACGGAATACGTTATTTCATTGCAGACTTGTAGATCTCCTTATTTAATCCTCTCTAGCAAGTGCAGCGTCACTGAAAATAGAACTGTCTTGCGAAACTTTCCTTTCAAGCTCTCCCCTCTATCGTAATGTCCTATTCAAATTTGTCACATTGTTGCAATTACATTACGCGTACTTAAATATATAAAGTATTATTTAACATACAGAGTGTTCCATTTTAATTTACCCAAGCAAATATCTTGAAAAATACGTAAGATATGAAAAAAATATTTTTAAATGAAAGTAAAGTTTTGAAGAAGACAATATGAAGATTATCTCCACTTTTTAAAATGGATTATATGATTTTCGTAATTACATAATATGATTCCTCTAATTATTTTGCATATAAAAGAATTAAGGTAGAAGTTCGGGTAGAGATATCAGGAAACTAATATTAAGATTGCAAGATATTTAATATTTAATATTTTTTATATCAATATGTGTCAAAAAAAAAGTATAAAACTCTCGTAAACTATTGGTTTTTTTAATATTTTATTTTAATATTTTTACCTTAATATTTTTGTATGCAAAATAATTAGAGGAATCATATTATGTAAAAAAAATCATATAATTCCATTTAAAAAAAGGTGATCTTCATATCTTTTTGGTGCCTCCACCTAAAAAAAAGCATATGACCAAAACACGTTTCTCTCGAAATCGTTCCGCTTTACCATCTAAAATAAAATTCGTATTTTACATATTTTTTAAATATTTGTCTGGAGCAATTAAAATAAACAATTATATTCCATATAATAGATTATCCTTTAGATAGGAATATTTATTAAACAATATCATTCGCTTTTTTCTAATGATTCAAATTTTTAATATTAACTCTTCATCGACAATATGAAATTTTTATCTTTCCTCTCGCACGTTTGAACTTCAATAAAAATTTTTATATTGTTTTGAACTGTAAAAAATCTTAAAACATTCTTACGTACTTATGAAAGCTTTACTAATGAATTTTTATATAATAAGTTGGATTATATTTTATTTATTGTTATATTTCACAGATTAAAATTTATCTTTTAGAATTCACAATTAAAAATTGACCTTTAAATGTTGACGGAAATTAATTTAACTTCATAGCAAAATTCCATTTATATAAATAGTGTTTCGATAATATATTTTAAATTATTTTATTTCAAAATCACAAAATCTTGCCGAAATTGCGTCATTGCATAAAGTGCGCAAATCGACGTCCACGTGCACTGTATTATTTTTGCATTTCTATAGTGCTGCACTCGCTGCTTTCAATGTAAGCGACCCGCATAATTCTTCAATTCGTTTATTCAACAAATTTATCGTTCGAAAAAGCGATGGTATTGCGCACGACGTTTTTTTTTTCGCCTGCCGTTTCTGCTTGTACAAAACGTATGCTGTTACACCGGAGCGAAAAAGAATGACGGAGACAGAGTGCCGGTTCACAGTAATGAATGGATTAAACAGCGTGACGTCACAGGATGGATTATATAAACGGTAGCGCGCGTGACATCGGACGTAGGAAGGAAGTTCGCTTCCTTTCGTACCTACAAGGTATTCCGTTCGTGCAAGTGTACGCGTACGCGCAAGTATGTATGCGCGTTATGTACGCAGACCGTTTCGTTGTCGAGGGGTCGTCCATTTGAAAGCGGACGAGCTCGGTTAGAATCCTAATGACGATAGTGCCGCCTCTTTTCATCTCCTCCTCGATACGGTACCACGGCATCCTGGCCTGCATATGCAATGCGAAATTATCGTTCACCGTCCGTGATAATTCGTACGTTCTAATTGTTGATTTTACGTTTGGTTGCAGGCTGCGTGCGACGTGCGTGCGACGTGTGTGCATTCCGTGCGAAAGCAGTCTCGATGTCCCGACAGTTACGAGAACGAGATGTAAGTCTTTCTGCTTCCGTATAATTATATACGAATTTTTGTAAGAAAAAAAAAGACATTCCGCACGCGTAATCAGTGAATCACGTTTTGGAAACTTCCGTTAATTTCGAACAATGGGATAATTTTATGCTTCTTACTACAAAATTGTCGAATGCAAACTATTGCCTAAGATGTAGACCTAATTTTTTTATAATGAGATTGACCAGGAATTATTGTAATAAATCTCTAATAGCTGGTTATTAATTAGTCATTAGTAACGTATATCTAACAAATTATATTGTCGTTAGTTACGAACTACATTGATAGTAGATACGCATTAATATCACAAAATTATACTGGCAATATATGGTTTTATAAATTACAATTGATTTCTATAATTTATGCATGGTATACAGTATTTCAAGCGCACAAGTTATTTCAAGTAATTTTTAAAATTTCATCTATAGATGATTAATTCTAAAATTTGAAATACATATTTTTAATGCATACTCTACACTATTAGCAGTCTCTTAACTTAAATAACATTTTGTTATTTTTAACTTCCATTTGTGTCAAAGTGTAAATTAATTAATTTCTGCGAATCACAGACTGTGATTAGCTTCAAAGTAGACCTTGTCCATTAACATATGCATTTAACAATTAATAAACTTGAATAAATTTGAGTTGAATTTAATACATTTTCTTAACTTGTTTAACTCCATGATTTTAAATCAAATTAACAACACATTAAATAGAAACAGTGACAATGATATGATTAAAAATAACTTAAATTGAATATAATTTGATATTATAAATTGAACAATGTAGATACCAATTAAATTTGGAGAATATTTAATAATTAAAATTGATCTGCTTAAGAATTATTCTCTCATTTCTTTTTATAGTTTCAAGTCACTATAATGATGTATAGTGTCATATTTTGAGACAAGAAATACAATGAAATAATGAATTATTCAAGTAAAATTTAAAAAATAGTTTTCAAAAGATTAACAATAAAGAGAAAGATAGCACACGTGATGATTTCACCGAGGAGAGAGTACATGTCAGAAATAGTAATTCATTTAGCATTTAAAGAATAAAATTGATTGTTTGACAAAATTAGAAAGTAGTAAATGAAAAATAATAACCAATCGAATATAACACTTCGCTTTTATTTCATACAATCTTTCAACTTGCCCATCATTATACCGATATTATCGAAAAAGTATCGTCTCATCGCTTGGCACATATAATGTATATTTAAAATTCTACATTGACATGACATGAAGATATTATCACCGTCCCCACCTTAATATGCAGATATATTTGGATATGGGACTACGTGCCTATGATGCAGACGAATTTAATTTATCGTTCCAATGGAGTTCGTTGAAGTGTCGGTATCGAACTGGAATCGAATCGATCTAATTTTTGCAATTTTTACACGGCGACGCAATATGAGCACGCTTATGTAATTCTGAAATTTCGTCGTCTGTCCCATTTCCTTGAGATCCTCATCTAGGTGCTGATTATTAGCTCATAGTCTGGGAGCCGTCTGCGGGTCGACGTCCGGCGTCCCGGAATAGACGCATCCCGCCGATGCTCGTTACATTCTGTCACCTACGAAAACGGACACACTGCTACTTCTCGCGATTTCCGGACTAACTTTACGCGATGAGAAAGGACCGGAGGAATTGACGGTCTTATTAATTCTTGTTCGTTGTGAACGAAAGTGTTCGTTTCTTGAAGAAATACGCGAAAATAATTACATATGATATATCTTGAAACACTTTTCTTATTTTGTAAGTTTGATTGAGTCAGACTGAGGCTTGATTTTTCAATTTCTGGTTAACTCGTGATTAGATTTAACTAAATGATAATGTAAGAATTATATTTTTTTATTTAAGATTGGAAGATTGATGTTAAATTTAACACATTTTATATGTTCCGAACAGTCCACTCAAATTTTTGTGTTAATTTGACGCAAAATGATTAAGTTAGAAAATAACATAAATATTTATATTTATGTGAAAAAATAGCACACAATTTGTAAGCAATTATATTTATTAACATTTATAATATGTTAAATTAATACATTGTATACATTTATCTTAGTAAAACTGATGGTTTTATAATGAATAATTTTTAAAGTTATCACTACAAAATTACATATTAAGTTAGTGATTGATCATAGCTAGAAAAATTTTTATCAAGTCAAATAAAGTTAAATCAAAATCACAAGTTAATCAGAAAATGAAAAATCAGGTCTAAGGTATCAAACAAATGTACTCTCTAAACTTTTTAGAGTGGAATCTCGCTCTAAAGAGTGAAAATTGAACCACTCTTGAAAAAAAAAGTGGCTCAATTTTCTTAAGAATGAGATTTCACTCTTTAGAGTGAAAAGAGTCATTCTATAAAAGTTTTATATATCTCTATTAAAGTAATAAGAGAGAGGAAGGGGAGAGAGAGAGAGAGAGAGAGAGAGAGAGAGAGAGAGAGAGAGAGAGAGAGAGAGAGAGAGAGAGAGCACGTAATGGAAAAAAAGCCATCAAAAACCTAGAATCGCACCAAAGAATTGGAAGAATTTGTTCTATATTGCAAAAAACTCTCCATTATTAACAAATTTTCTAAAGTCAATAGTAGATAAAATTCTTCCATTGTACTATAAAGACTAACGATCGTTCGTTCAAAATCTTGATCACAATTCCTGCTTGATCGTTGCGTTTTCTTTCGGTTGCACCGTCTCAGCGGCGAAGCTACCCCTCTCCTTTTTTTCTCTCCTATCGCCCAGTAATACGTCACGATGATCACCCCGAGAGACCGGTTAACAATCCTCTTCGAAGGGCAGGTGCGTAGCTACGTAGCGCTTTTGTACGCAAAGGAAAAGGGCAGCTGCTTGTTCCTAGACACAAGGAGGCGAAGGGCAAGCAAGTAGCGGTGGAGAAGGCGGGCAGGGAGGAGGAGAAAGAAGACGAAGGGCGAGAATGGGAGATGGCTCGCTGCTAAGGTAAACGATATAATGGGGACGTAACAGTGGGTCCTTTTCAGTGGCAGATGTCCTGGTCGAGACACGTGCCCGCGACGTAGTTCCCCTTTTTCGTCGCCCTCTCCTTTCTTCCCGAGGAGGAACGAGAGCGGAAAATCCCCGAAAAAGAAGGAGAGGGGCGTGGGATGGGGGGGCTCTTGATGTAGTAAGAGCTGCGCTCACGCGCGTCCTACATCATGCCGCTTCCTTTCTTCCGTCCTTTCTTTCCGCCCGTGCCTCTTTCTTTTTTCTTCTGAGCTCGGAGGGACGCACCAGCTGCTCTCGTTATACAGCGGATTTCGCACTGGCGCGGCGCTGCGTAATAGCAAGTCCGTTGCTTCTCGCACCCTATTTGCGCGAAGATTTGAGATCTTGCATGGACATGTACTGATCTGAAACCGTCTTCCAACGCTCACTAATAATTGTAAGTACAAGTCTCGGAGTAGGAATTAGAGCAGAATTAATAGGACCATTTTTATTAGTGGAGAAAATATTAGATAGTAATAGTTGTAAAAAGCAACCATTTATTAATTATTTCTTAACTCTCTAAGATTCGATACCACCAATGTAAGATCAAATTTACTCTCGAATCAATTTAGTTTTTATCTTCTTCTAATTCTAAGAATTAGAAATTAATTAATCTTACATTGGCGGACTTTAGCTTATTTCTGTCATTGTAAATTAATTAACTTTAGTTTACTTTTCATCTACTACTAGTTTTCATCTACTACTAGTTTTGATCTACTACTAGTTTACTACTCAATTTATTATACTTTTCATCTTTTTCTAGGAATTAGAAAAAATGAAGAGTAAGTTGAACTGAAATTAATTGTTAATTTGCATAGAAATAAACATTTTGAAGGCTGAAATCTTTCAAAAAATATAAGTGAAAATTAGTAAAAAGATAAGTCAATCACACAAGAAAATATGAGTAAATATGAAATACTATAGTATAGAAGGAATAAAAAAGAAAGAACATAAGAAAAAGTATAATAATATATATAGAAGTTGAATACAAACAATAAAATTAGAGAAATTTAGTACTTATTAAAATTACAAATTAATACTTATTAATGTTCATTTAAATAATAAGTAGAAACATCTCTGAGAATTGTCGTAATCGTAATATATTCAACTGAATCCGAGATTTTTGTACATCACATCGTTCGTTTTTGTATGGTAACACCTGCGCTTCTCAATATCACTTCGTTTCGATTACGAATCTCATATTCTAGATCGCTATAGCAAAGTGACCCAAGCGAGAAGATGTTGAACATCGCGCGAACAAAGGGAATTTGAAGCAAGTTGGTGCCGACCCATATAAGCTTCAGGCAGATACGATACATACCGCCGTGCCAAATTCTTTCAAAAGGCAAACGTCGAGCGGTTGCATTGAACGTTTCGCGGAAAACTCGTCGTCTTTTCTGGCCGCCGGCTTAAAACCGGTCCAGATGAAAAATATTTCTAACAAGTTTTCTAACAGAATATGATATCCGCCACATGATATCCCTCACGAGGTGTGAAACGACGGTACAATAGATTGATACAAAACCGGCCCGAAACTACTTCTTCAAGTACATTAACGCATTAAAAAAACCTAATTTGTGAATTGTACTTAAAAGATGCGTAATTACATTTCTTGCAAGAAAATGGGATATTAACAGTATCTATCTAATTTCCGTGCGTGCATGAAAACTCGCGAAAGTTGTTTCCAATTTGACCGGCGCGGCAGCAGTCCAGCATCTATTCCTTATTGTACGACTTTGTCGCCAACAAAAGCCGTTATAATATCTCTTACGTTTCGTCTTCAATGAGTTTCAATTCAGTTCCCGTGTACGTTGCACATATAAAGCGAGCTTTACACCGCGTCGTCTGAGAGCCGCTGCGCCGCCGTGCGACTTTTTGAGTCGCTTTGGTCTCACGCCGGGACTATGGACGGTGTATACACATATTAACATGCGCACACGTACGTATCCACGCACGGCTGAT